ATTTTGTCTTCATGTTGTGTCTTTTAGCCATAACTGAGGGTAAAGATAAAAATACAGAAAATAAGAGTTAATTAGGAAGGCAAACTATGGTTTTGCAACTCCGTGGCTGCTGCTGCTCTTTCATTATCTGAAGCTTTGCCGCGTAATATTTTCCAGAGAGACTCAAACTCGAATTTCTTTAAATTTCAGGGGTGGAGGAGAGCTAGGCCTTAGCTGGCACAAAGATGGATGTCAGCATAATAAACTCAAAGGTCTCCATGACCTTAAGGCTTGCATCATGCTGCTGCACGAACTGGGGTTTTCTCAGCCAAAACACACAGCACTGGCAGCTGCCAGTGCTGGAGGAGTTCTTGCAGGAGCCCTGTGCAACACTGATCCAGAACTGATCAGAGCCATGGTTTTACAGGTGAGGTGCTGCAGACCTTCTGTGGATTATAACATTAAGCTGTATTTTATGTTTCATTCTACCAGTTTCTGAATTAGAAACATTCCAATTCAAAATTCACTTTCTTCATTTGTTTGAGAACACATTGACTCAGGCATTCAAGGTCCTCTGTCCTATTTGCCAACTTTTTTTTCTTTTCATGACTTCTAAGGCTCCTTTTGTAGATGTTCTAAATACAATGATGAAAACTCATCTCCCACTGACAATTGAGGAACAAGAAGAATGGGGAAATCCATTAGAAGATGAAAAATGTATGAAGTATATCAAAAGCTATTGTCCATACCAGAATATTAAGCCACAGGTAAAACTATGCTTTCTGTGTGGAATACTACAGTAATAAAGTGTAGTGATTTACAACTTCTTGCAGAAAACAAAAAGTGGATAACAAATTTAAAAAAAACCTCCAATATGAATTATTTCTGTAATAATCTTAGCAATATTTGGAGTCACAAGTGACTACTGAGATTAACCAAATGCCTTTTACTAAATAATCAATATATTTCAAAACTCGATTTTTAGGACTCCTAGGAAGTAATAGATTACTCTATGGTATAACAAACCTCAACATATAAAATATCTTCTCCTTTTGTGGGGGCTTTCTGTTGTTCTACTGGGTTTTGCAGACTTTGTCACAGAAGGAAGGCAGTATTTTCAACTCATTTAATACCTTCTAAGAGGCAAACACCGAAATGGAAAAGGAGCTATAGCTTTGACATTGCCATCTCAGGGGAAATCTTTCTTTATTTGAAATAATGTGTTAGCTGTGTTACATAGCTTGATTAAGTAAAATCTTACTATTTAAAAAACCAACTTTTTCTCTGCAGAAAGATAGGAAAAATAAAGCTCAGCTATTGTTCTAAGGTGAACCATTCCATGACTACTACTACAGGATTTTTTTGCAATTATCAGATTTATACCAGTGGGAGGAGGATGTTTTTGATGATCTTTTGCAAGTAGATAATCCCCTACTACGAAGTAATTTTTCAGACCAAAATGTTTTTTCGCAGTTAGTGATAAAAGTGAGGTTTTTTAAGTAATTAGGTAATACATGTTTTTAGATAAATCCTAACACATTGTACAGTAAGAAAAAAATTTGTTACTCTGTGAGAAAAACCAATTGTCGAGTATTTAACTGGTTTTGGTTTTTAACCTCAGTGTTATCCTTCAGTTTTTATCACGGCATATGAAAATGATCAACGGATACCACTAACAGGAGTCTTACGATATGTTCAGAAACTTAGGAAGGCTGCACTAGATCATGCCAGCAGAACAAGTAAGAAAGGTAAGGATAAGGATATTACAGGTAAACGGAGTTGGTTAAACCAAATATTAATAGTCATGTAATTAAACACCATAGAGATTGACACCTCCTTAAATTAATTCATTTGTACAACACACTCCCATATTTTTAGCTCCACAACAGGCTCTGAGATGCAAAAAAATAAAGACTGGCTCGCTCTTTCTTAGGCCTCAACACATGGCAGCTGTTGGGCAGTGCAAGGTGAACCCATACCACCAGTCCAACTACTGACAGGCCCAGAGTGCAGTTCTCAGCAATGCTTGGATAAAATCTTACTTTTGCTGCTCTACAAAAAACGACTTTTCTCACTTTGATAAAGCTGCAGGTCTTAGTCCAAGGCAGAATGACAGCAAGGCCAAGGCACAGGTGCTTTTATACCTGAAACTTAACACTAGCTTTGGGACACTTTCCAGCGAAAGGTGCATTCAAGCCTTACCATTTTCTAGTACTGTCTCATCTGGGGAGAGGTTTTTACCATCAGCATCAAAAGAGATCTTGAATAACCTTTTCTAATTTTCATTATGCCCTATATCTGCAAGCAGCACAACTGTGATGGCTGAGAAATTACAGCAGATGCTGTGGTTGCTGTTGCAGTCTTTGCTCAGAAATCAAAAACCACATCAAAGAGACTCAAAGAGAACAAACACACTAAATAGATAAATATTTCTCAAATATGCAATTCATAGAAATACAAATAATTCATTCAGAAAGCCCCTATATGATCCTTTTTTATTATTTTTTAAGGAATAATAGAAATTCTGTCAGGACCGAAGGCAGAATTATCTATACCTAAACAACTCACATCCCCACTTACCTTTTTCCTTGTTCATTCAATGTAAAGTGATCACTAGCTTCATTGTTTCAGGAAATTGGATTCCTAATATCATCTTAGATGTCCAGGCAAATGGCAGCCATTGTGACTCATCCTGGGAGCACTCAGTGAGTGAGGTATGTTCCCTTTATTGTACATGTCCATGATGTGTTGGAGCGAGGTGTCCCCTCAATTGATACTTCAGTTTCAGTAGTCATGCAGTCACTGAATGTATGTTTAAAGTATAAAAAAGAAAAACTGCAAGAGCAACTGCTGGTCTTATATATCTATAACACAGCAATTTATATACGCAATTATATATATTTATCAATATATATACTTCTATAGATAGAAAAGAGACAGTGACAGGGCCAGATTATTGAAACAGCCTCAAAACAGTTTTCAATTCCCACTCTAATGTGTTGAGAGCATTGAATGAAAGGTTCCAAGTTGGGCAAAACATTATTTCAGCAGGAAAAGTCTTGCACTGTAGAGTATTAAGTGCTTAAAATTGTCATACTATTTACTTCCATCTTCTTCACGTGTAAGACATATGATGAGTTTGATCTTTACATTTTGAAATACATGATCTGTACTATCAAAGCTATTACAATTAGCTTTCAAGATTTTGCACTTTATACAAGTGTGCCTGTTAAAAGCAACACAGTATATTGTTATTAGTGTCTCAGACTATCACAGTTGGATACAAATTTTATGACTGTTATTTTGAACAAATCCTAGCAAATGTTAATTTGGTGGTTGTGGCAGTAACTCCCAAAATGAATTCCTTCAGGAAAAGCTTCATTCTGTTTTAGGGCAAGATATTTCTTAGCATTAGTCTAGGAAAGGAAGAAGATTAGGATAGCTGCACAAGAGCCTGAAGGTTTATAGTGCAAAGAACTTTACTTTGTAATAAAATATTTTCATTATTTTAGGTCGCAAGACACCTTGCTTTTCTGAATAAAGAACTTGAGGAAGTATGCCATCTCCAACATCATAGCAAATCCTGCAGATAGCTAATAAACACAATGACCACCTGAAGAACTTTGGGTCGGATTTTTATTTATATGGAAAGCAAACACCTTCTCCAGAGGATCTTTGCTCCTGGATCCCTGTTTTATGGGCATAAAGTGCACAAAGCTGGGTGTGGCATTGGCTTATAAACATACAGACCAAGAACTGAATTTCTCTGCTGCCTGGTAGTACAGAAGTAGCTGCCAGCATAAATCAGTTTGTTCAGTAAGTTCTGTTCACACAAGCCAGCAGTGCAGCGCTACACGAGCAGAGCTGAGCGCAGCGACTGGCACATAAAGCCTCACGTGAGTAGCACATGCACTTTGTACAGGGAGCCTCTCCATCCTAAGCCATCTCTAAGACCACCTTTTACACAAGGCAGTAAAACTCCTCAGTAGTATTTGATGAAAAAGTCTCACTACTTCTAAAACTAATTCCCATATGTAGGTGATGATGACTGTTGCCCTTCCTATCTACACAGCAGTCATAGTGTACTGATCATATGGTGGGATCGATCAAACTGCAAAGAAATGGACTCTCAAGAACAGCAACTTTAGCAGAACTCTTTGATCTGAGCAGATTAAAAATCTTGCAGTTACCTTAACTAGCATGGTAATCTTAAGAAGGAGGTGCCAAAGTCCCTCTGGAAGACAAGATGAATGCCCCAGAGGATGATGCCAGAGTGTCTCCAGAGGATAAAACAAAAAGAATGCCCCCACTGAAGCAGCCCAATTCATAGCTTAGCTGCCCTCTAAGCAAGGCACAAACCAGCTGTGCATTGCTTGTTAAAATACATGCTTGGTGCACACCTAGGGGGCCAGCATCAGGTGGAAGATACACTGTGGCCATACTGCCCTCAAACCAAAACAAAGTTCCCCCATGGACCCCTGTGCCCACAGCAGGCTGCACCAAGTCAAATGCTGACTCTTCCTTTGGGCCACATCAGCCACTGTAGGTGCAGCAAATGCAAATCAAAGCACAAGTGTGACAATCAGCTTCAGCTGCATACTCTGAACTAAAGTACACACCCCTCACCTCAGCCTTAGGGTAGGAAGAGAAGTAAGAGAATGCAAATGTATTCTAATTCAGCAGGGAAGGGAGAAATCAATTTGAAATGCAGCCCTGAGTGTAGAATTAGATGTATTAGCTGTATTTTGTTCTTTTCCTTACTAACTTTGAGGATAATCAGAGCTGTTAGAGTTGAGAGAAAAGACATCACAACCATATGTATCAGTCCTGCTTGTGTTTACCTGTTTTAGCAAATACAGGGCCACTCCTTTAGAATAAGTTTCACAAATCTACACATTTGTTAACATTAATTATGAACTGCCACAGGCTTTGGAGCTCTTAATAACCAGCAACTGTAAGAGGTAGCACCCAAAAAGCAACTGTTGTCTTTCCTCCCAAAAATACACACACTTTAACAGGACAGTTTTTTATAGGTTTACTTTTCTTCTCCACAGATCCTAAAGGGGAGTTTATACCATACTTTTCATCACCAATTCACATACAAGGCATTAGGTGTCTGTTTTAGTTTTCAGGTTATTTTGTACAAAGTTTGAAAAGCCAAAGAAAACTGAATGTTTTTAGCATTTCCTTGAAACCAATATCTTCTAAATTAACATGAAAGCTTAGTTATTCTACTCCTGTACTTAACAGTTCATGTAGAGTAAATTTAAGGCCATGGAATAACAAGCTTTTTCTGCCACAAAACACTTCCCTTGAAAAGCTTCCATAGTATGGACAGGCTTTGCTGTTTTATATTCGAGGACCAGGCCTTCTCCCATTTCAGTTTTAATTAGTTTGGTGGAGACAGCTTTACCAGCATTGCTAAAATTAGTACTTAGCCTTATAACAGCTTCAGAGGGAAGATTAGGAACTATAGCTGTCAGGTCTATTGTCGATTCCTGCCCGAAGTTGAGGACCATCATGAAGGTTCTGTCTAACCCATCCAGTTCCCTCACATACACAAACACGTCACTGTCATTCCAGATGTAGCACATCCAGCCCCGATTGATGGGGAGCTCGTTGTTGCGAAGTTGCGTCAGCTCTCTGTACAAATTCAGGGTTGAGTTGGACCAGGTCCTCTGGATCTGCAACAGTCAGTGTGAACAGGGTCAGTTCTTGGCACTGCATGTAGGGAATGCAGCTTCCCTCTCACGCCCACTCAGTCTGCTGAGAACGCGCCTATTGGATTTTGACAATTATCTCTTCAAATTTGTCCACAAATTTCACTGGAAAACTGCTTTTTCTCACACACTTACCAGGCATTTGTGAAATGGCAGAGACGCAGGTTATTAGACACAATGATTCCCCAGCACTAATGCTATTGCTTTCTCCCACAGCCTCCTTTTAGCAGTGCTGATTCAGGAGAAAGCTGCAGCCATTCAAAGCTTGACTCTGAACCTTTTTCTTTGAGTCTAATCTACTGAAGTCACAGGGTTTATTTCATGTTTTATATTTTTGCTATCTTAGATTTTTTTTTTCTGGTCTTCAATTCTGGTCAGCACTGTAGGTCAGCAAAATCTCTTTGCTTCAGTGCTCTACATGTGTTAGAGATAGTCTGTGTTAAGTTCTTGTTACACAGACAGTGCTTTCTGTGGCAATAGAAATGGGGGGAAAAAGAGACCCGTTTCCAAATTAATATTGTCCTAGTTACAGGGGCCGGGACCAGTTTATCACTATGTGAGTATAACCAAAACTGTATTCTACACCCTCTATGTAATTTCTGGTGGACTGTTAATAAATGAATTGTTTGCAGCAGCTGCCCAGGGCACACCTGACACCTCAGGCTACAAGCTGGGTGTTAAAGAAACCCTGTGAGGCAGGGGAGTGATCTTTTGTTTTCACACCAATGACTCAGCTGTGATAACTCCCCTCCAGAAAGGCATTAACATCACACCCAGCCTGAGGGGTCATCTCTGCTAATGGGCCACCTTGGCCTGGTGGCCCATGGACATAAACATCTGCAACACCTAGACCTTCAAAGATTCCAAAAATATCCCATGACTCACAGAGTTAAATCACCCATTGTGAAACTCCCCATCCTGGGGGACGTACTGGACGTTGCCACCTGAACTTGAGCATATATAAACTTCAGGTGTGGGGACTTCTGGTACCACTCGGATCAAGAGAAGGACCAGGACTTCAACAGGACTGTGATCATCATCTGGACCAACAGCTTTTCCTTTCCTTCTACTTTGCATCCAGAGGGGCTGTGTAGTGCTCAGTACAGGGGCTGATGAACATTGTTCTGTTCTTGTCCCAGGGTGCTGGGTTATACATCTGTCTTTAGGGGTTAAAACCACTTTTCTCTGTATCATTGTATTGTAATCTTCTTAGTAAATTGTAACTCTGACTTGTAATCTTTCGAGTTGAGTTCATTTCTCCCACTGGTTTACTTTTAAACCAGCACAAATATTAAAAGGATTAAAAGTATGTTAAAGAGCCAAATTGCCACATCAACATCACAACTGCAGTTGCTCTGCTTAAATGAATATAGATGAAGTAGGCTCCTTGCTGGTGCAAGGAATTCCTTTTCTAATAAAACTTGTGAGGATTCAGCGCTTTTTTTCCCCTTGAGTCTGTTCTTACTGCCAATGCCCACTACTAAAAGGAAGCCAGAGGACAATAGATACGTTAAAATATTTTTAAACCGTTAATTTGTCACACATGCAGATACCTACTTCCACATTTACACTTTGGTAGTTGGAGTTAACAGGTAACCAGCTACTGTTGCCTTCAGTAAAACCAGCATTAACTTCTCCATCCCACTGCATGGGGGATTTCTCTGGAAAGGTCACCTAGAAAATAAAGTGCTGATTAGCATATTGAAAAGGTATTCTTTGAATAGCATGTTCTCACATCTCCCAAATTCTCACCATTTCAGTATTGCTTTCTTCGGTTTAAGTTAAAATTTAATAAGGAGAATGTAATCCTGCCCCAACTCTAAGGAGAAAATAAGAACCAAGACAGTTCCTGAAATGGAGGGGAGTGGATGGTCTCAGATGCAGCATCACTGGTAAAATGTGGAATTCCCAAACAACTCTACTAGAGTTGTCATCCTTTGCAACAGATGGTTGGATAAAAGTTTACTAATGACAGCCAGGATATTCTAATAAATATCTAGATATGCATCGAGTGAATATATGAGGTAATGAGTCCTAAGAAGGGATGCTGTTAAAATAACAGTAAACAACTAATAAATGCTGTTCAGAGTCTTGTTCTTTTGTAACTATCACACCTTTCTCCTTAGAACTCTCCAAGATTACATTCGCAAGGGGTACAGTTTGGACAGGATTGTGTTAGAAAGATAAAATTATTATTTCCAAGTGCAAAACTATGGAAAACCAGCTTTTAGCTGATTAAAAACTGTCGATGTAAAAAGTCTGAAGTTCTCATTTTGAAGAATTCAGAAAAATTCTGAAAAAGCTTCCTCATTGTTATTGAAGAGCTGCCAAAAGATCTGACACTTAAATTTAATGATATAAGAGGGCATAAAATATTTTGCACATACTTTGAGTGTTTGTTTTCCATGAAAACTGTTTTTCATATAAAGGGCACTTTTCAATACAATCTGTCAGAACAGCAGCCTAACAAAAGAAATTGTCACTTTGCTTTGTGACATTACAAATAATGGGTTTCTCCTTTTTAGCATATTCTGAAAAGCAGGAGGAAAAAAAATCCTAAGTTTTCAACACTAGTAATGCTGCCTCTCATTTTTACCTCTTTCAGTGTCTCCTGAAGTGTTTTAAATGCTGTGCCTAAACACTATATCCTGAGCAAATACTCTCCATCTTTCAAAGACACCCAATAATCAGGGAACTTTCCTTTCCGAATGGAGTGAAGGGTGGGTTTGCATTGTTCCAAAGCCGTGAGCCACAGGGTAGCCACTAAAAGAGAGTGAACCCTGAGGAGCCAAAGGTGAGCCACTTTTCTGAAGAGAATCACTCTGTCAGCAGTAAGCAGCAGCGGCAAGAAAATGCAGGAGATCCTTTGACCTAGGTGTTTCTCAGAGGAAATGAGATTTCCTTTTAAATCAGAGAATCATTTCCTCACATCTGAATCAGACAAACCTGGAGGTGATCCTGTGCTTCAGATATCTCTTTCCCTTTGATACAAAGCTAGCCAACACCATTTGTAACATGTCAGAGGCTGTCTCATTCCCTAACAGGCTTTCCACAGTGAAACCAGCATCTGCCACAGGACCACATTCTCATAGTGCTCAAAAATGGTCATGAGAGGCAGAGGTGAGCTGTTCCTTTTAGGAACAGACTAAGCATGACAACCAAAAGTCACTTCTGCTTGTCACCAGGCACCCTCCCCTTTGTGCAGATGCCTTCTGGGCATGGGCACACTGGAGATGGGTGTGACTTAGGTGCCTTTCTGTAGTCAGAGTAAAAAGGTCTGCAGGAGATGGTGACTGTAGCTACAATCTCTCATGAACTCTGATTTCCTTTAAATAGCAGCCAGGAAACAATGGCCTTTGAACTAATGATTAGGGTACTTCCATGGGAGGAAGGAGATAGTGACTCGGCACCCCTTGCCTCATATGACTGTAACACCCCTCTCCTAACCATTAGCCCAGGCCCAGTGTTGGCACTTGCTGCCCTTCCTGCTGAAGGGAAGCAAAGCAACATCACTGCAAACCATGCAAGACTGATCTGGAGAAGGACAGAAATCAGGAAACATAATTAAAATCTAGCAGTTCAGACCCACATCCAGACCTTGGTTCTGATCTCTGACCTGGCCATTTGTGCATGTGGTCCAATGGTTTTGCCATGAGGAACATGGAAAACTATCTAAGCAGTGAGAAAGCCTGGGTTTGGTTAACAAAACAAAAGTTCCTGGGTTTTTTGAAAGTTCTGTTATTTGGAACTAAACAACAACATGATCGGAGTTCACATGCTCTTCACTTACATTTTCTGATACAATGTTCTCCATGCCTATTTCTTCACCATAGTAAGTTACAGGAGTTCCAGGCAGGGTTAAAAGCAGCATATTCATAACATTGACATACTCCTTCCCAACGCGAGATGAAATCCGAGCAGCATTAGGGCTTCCAACCTGAAGAAAACATCACTCTGTTAAACATACATTATAAAATTTCATGCATATGTGAAACTGATTAACTAATTTCACATGGCAGTAGATTATTTTTTTCTTCTATTTCTTTCCCCTCCAGGGCTGTGAAGTGCTTTATCCTTATCTTGGTGCCATTACAAACTTCTGTCCCAAATAATGTAGTACACAGAAGTCCTGCCAGCACCACGAGGCAGAAGTGATGGAAAGATAACAAGTAACAACTCTCCACAATTACAGTCCCTCGGATTTCTGCCATTTTCTCTGCTGTGTGAAAACTGCTCTGCTTGTTTTGAAAAGATCCCTTACACATTCCAAATGTGCTTCCTAACAAAGACGAGCAGGTTTTAAGTTAACTGCCCTCAGCTGCCTGCTCTGTTCTGCCCTGGCCCTGGGAGGGTTCCAGAATCCACTGCAGTGAGTCAGTTTATGGTCAAAGATAATTATACCGATTCCATTCTCACTAGTCTTTTAACCCAGTGCCGCATCCTACACTGGAGACACTGAGGGAGAGGCATGATCATTAAATTCCCTTCTGTCGCTGTTGCATGGGGAGTGTAACTGTTATTGATGGGCGGGAGAGCCGGCTGGTGCCAACAACTGCAACTGCAGCAGCTCAGAGCCTTCACGTGGGCAGCAACCACAGCCCAGTCACGAGCTCAGGCTGCTGCTGATCCCACTGAAATCAATGTGTGTGTCTGTGGGGTGGGGCTTCTATCACCATAACAGGAACGAGCCCTTCCTGTAAGAGTTGGTCTAGAACTTACAGCCCAGTTTGGCCATTTTCCCACAGGCATGTTTTTCATCCACGAGTCAACAGCTTCAAAAATACTGTTGCCTGACAGATTTTTCATGTTCATTAGGTTGAAATTGAAGGGAAAATCTGCTTCTTGGATGAAAGTTGTTCCATAATACATCATTGTTGCTTCAATGTCTTCCTTTTCATCATCACCAGAACCCATAAATCTAAAAAGAAGTACACAAATAACTTTTTTGGCTCATTCTTTGTTGCACAAAAGAGAAGGAAGCTAGGAATGGTTGAATATAGAACATTAAGCATTACATTCACTTCCCTCCTCCCCATCAAAAAGGATTAATACAGAGAAACAATGTTTTGTAAAGCAGACAAGAAGTCAAGGAGAAATATTTCTTGGAAATTGCAGATGAAAAATCTACAACAGTCGACACAAGGCTAAAGTATCTGCCTGAAGTCTTATCTTTCTGAATTCACATCCACATAGCCCATTCCAGCAATTTCCAGCTTTCCTTCACAAAACAGGACCTGGGGAGCCCCCAAGTTGACCATGAACTATCAATGTGCCCTCGAAGATGACTTATGGTATCCTGGGCTGCACTAGAAGGAGCGAGTGTTGCCAGAAGGTCGAGGGAGGTGATTCTCCCCCTCTGCTTTGCACTGGTGAGGCCACACTTGGAGCATGGTGTCCAGTTCTGGGCTCCCCAGTATAGACAGACATGGATGTACTGGAGAGAGTCCAGCAAGAAGCCACTGAGCCCATTAGGGACTGAAAGATCTCTCCTATGAGGAAAGACTCCTTGTAGTAAAAAGTAGAGTTTCCATTCTCGGAGATGTTCAAAAGTCATCTGGACAAATTCCTGGGCAGCCAGCTCTAGGTGCTCTAATAAGCAGGAGCTTTGGACCAGAGCACCTCCAGAGCTCCTTACCAAACTCAACCATTCTGTGACTTTAACAATCTCTGACTGTGTGTCTGACTTGAATTGCACTATTAAAACGATACAATAGAGCAGGCACGGGGTCGATGAATTACAGAGTCTCTGTGATCAGAGTGATTGCCCATTCTGCTTAGTCTTGTACAGTCCATAGACTGAGCAGAGCTAACAGGGCCAATTCCTCTCCTTTCCTCACACACTGAGGAAGAGATAATATAGCCTAGGCCCCACTATTTGCATTTGAGGATTTGCGCATTTTTGTGGTGTATTATATTAAAAAACCCAAACATTTTATTACTATCAGGAGGTGATGAATATTGGAGAAAAATTCAGCAGGTGTAATAATGATTACCTGTATCGACCAGGTTCTCTGCTGAACTCATTCATGGTCTGACGGAAGCTACGGATGATATCATGCATACCAACCTGTGCGGTCGTGTAGTCATGGTAGAGCTGGGAATAGGCTGTGATAGTCTCCTTAGAGAAGGATAGAGTATTTCCCATTAGTTCATCAGTATTTTAGATTTCAGAACTCTCCAAGTTCTTCCCATCCCTTCCTGAGACAGTGCACCAGTCCACATAAATTTTAACTGGAATGAGTTTAGCATACTAACTCTGACAGCGCAGAGCTGAGCTGCACTTAAAGGTACAACAGCAGAAGGCTGGTTATTTTGGATCCCATCATCCAGGAGGGGAGCACTAGCCAACTGAGCCCATCTGCAGCAGCGAGCACAGCAGGTGCTGTGGCCACACACCAGGCTGGAAAGATGGACAGTGCCTTGATAAGGTACCACAACAACAACACTTGTGGAGCTGACCAGTTTTATGTGATCCTCACCTCCACAGGGGAACAGCATTTTAATGCTGAAAGTATCTGGGAATGTCACCAAGTTCACTACCACAGCAAAAGCAAATAGCATAAGTAACAGTGTTCATGCTTTTGAGTGCATCTGGCCACTTCTCACTGTGACATACTGCCAGTATGAAGGTTTTTCTTTTAGTTTTTCTCCAATTCTTATTTGCAATGTAGAAGAAATATATGCTAGTAACTGCTACAGAATCCCAAGCAGGCAAGATCTCTGACCTTACCTCCTGTAGCAGGCTCCCCAAAGACAACCAATCAACTACTAAAAATCACAAGATTTGTCTTTTTAGAATGTGAATTGAAAAGCAAATTATTTTAAAGAGAAAATTCAAAGCAACAGCGTCAGAACAGAAAAACAAAGTGTATATGGACAATTCTTCCGCCCACAGAGCTCCTGCTTGCAGGTATCTCCCTGACCTACAGCCCCAGCCCACCAGGCTTCTTTCTTGTGAGTGCTCCTTCTGCAGAGTGCCCACCCGCTTTCCAAGGGACATGGCTGACCCAGTTTTCCTACAGCCACAATTAAGACCCAAAAGAGTAAAAACATACACTCTTTTGTCTCCGTAGGAAACACAGGAAAAAAGCAAAGACAGAACATATACATTACTCCATTTTGAGACTTGTTCACTTGAGGTTCATCTCGGAGATGCGTTGCTTCTAAGAGAAATTTAACAGTGCTGAAACTAAATCCATCAATTCCTTTGTTGAGCCAAAATTTTATAATATCCTAGACAAAGGTAAAAATTGAGAAGTTCAAGTGAGTCCACCCCATTTGAAACAGTATAGTCTTAAAAAGAAAGCTAAACCTTCTAGGAAATATTAATATGTAACAATTTATATTTAAATTGGTACTTCAAATTTTTCAAGAAGTCAAAATGAATTTTGTTGACCTAAGGTCAAATAAGATCTAAATAAAGTAGGTCTTATTATTTCATCCAGTATAAAAAAGAAAACAACTGGTCTGTAACTTCTCCCATAATTCAGGAGACCTAAACCAGGGCGTGACTCGCTAAAAGATGCTTCTAATCTCATCCATCAAAACAATTGGGCTCATGCTAAGCGCTGTTGTTGGTGAATACTCCTTCATGGCTGCACACAATTAGAACGCATTGATTCAAATATGCAAGAATATGTTGTTCTGCACAGACCTCGTGCCACCAATTTTCTTTTACACAATAGAGCTCTTAAAACATTTGTTCTCTCTTATTTGACTGATGAGGATTTTTTTTCTATTTTATTTTCAGGGTTATTTATTTGCAGGAACACAAAAAATTATTATCCAACAATTACAAATGCTATTGATTTATAATTTCACTATCAAATCGAGAGGTTAGTCACTGCTAGTAAAATTATATCCTCCTTCAATAGCCATTATATTACTACAGTTTCAATTGCTCTAGTTTTAACAAAAGAAGTCTAAAGTTCAGTCCCTTGAGTGGTTTCTGCAAATGTTCTTTTAGATGCGATACTTGTCTTCATCTGAGGAAAAAAGTCTTTTTTTATATATATTTTTTAAAGACAGCTATTGAATTGCCTTTTTTAAAATGTATGAAGTACGCTTGCCTGAATAGGCTGGACTGGAACTAGTCCACACTCAAGCTTTACAGATTTTTGTTTGGCAAATAAAGACTCTGCCTCACTGAGCTGCACTTTCTCAAGGCACCATTCTGAAAGCAGCAGCTCCAATATGGTGGCTGTCCAACAATGAATCTACCCAAAAACATCCACACTTATGCCTGTGCTCAGCACAAAAGCAGCACCAGGTATCAGCACTGCAAACATCAAGCACTGACATGGTTCTCACTGCGATCAATCTACATCTTTTACATAAGAAAGCTACAACGTGCTGGCTGCTAAGTTTCCCTGTTCTTGCATGCCGCCCTTGCATGGCTAAACCAAAGACTTAAGCTTCTCTGCAAAAGTCCATTTGCTTCCTGCTCAGTCCTCCTAACCTTCTGGAACAGGATTTTGAATTAAAATACAAGACAAAGGTTCTTCTTCAACGTGACATTCATAAGCATTTACCAAAGACTGGTGTTACCGGGCCAAACTTACTAGTTTTCATGTCATCTTTTTGCTACTGGAGCCTCAGTAATGTGTTGGGTACCATGAAAAAAAATAGTTAGCCAAGACAATTAAAAAGTGTGATGCTATGGAAAAAAGGTGCAAATGGCAAGACATGGCATTGAGGGAAGTATCAAAGCACAGAGAGGTTACTAGCAGAGTTCCTCAAAGACCCAGTCTCAAAAGCAGTCTTGTTTCATTATTTAGTTAAAAAGTATAACCAGTAGTGATTTGTTTCTTCAAGTGCATGCAGTACTCATGTGGTGAGGGGAGAGGCTTCACAGAGCTTGTGAGACCATCCCAGTAGGGTTGGGCAGCTGTGGAGACTACTGCCCAAGAAATGCACCAAAATTCAACAGTTCAAAGTAGCAAACATTCAAGGATTAAATCGAAACACTTGAAGTAGTTGTACTACCTGATGAGCTACAACTTTAAGGAAGGGGGAAAAAGAAGTAGCAATTGTCAGACTCCCCATGTTCAGGCCCACTTCCCCATATTTTAATCAATTCTACGTTGTCTTCTGGGAGACATGATGCAGACAGACAGACATGAGATTCCATCTGAGCACCACCACCTTCCCATAGTAAAAGCACTCTCACTGTGAAAACACTCTCATCACTCTTTTTCCTCTGTAAAGTCATCAGACATGTTCACAGATGGAAACTCTCTCCCTTATCCACAAGCCCAGGCACTCCTTGTAATTCAAATCAGCATTGCCTCAGCTTTCTTGAAAATACAAACATTTCTCTGCTAGAACAAGGTGCCATTCCCACATTTGACTGGCTAATTAACAGTCCTTGTATCAAGAGAGATAAAAACTTCTTTCCACTTGAGCACATCAGCTCTGCACAGGCTTCAGTGCAGAAGCAGTTTTTCCTTCCATATCAATCCTTCCATTAATTGTTGCCCTGGATACAACATGAAGTGCCTTCGTCCTCGGCTTTTGATGTAGAGGGGCACACAGTTAACAACCTCCAGACAGCAGTCATATTGCATTATTTGACTACTAGCACCAACTTCAAAGCAAGTAAGAGAAATCTTGGGGCCTAGAGGGAGAAGCACCTACGCCAATGTACAGGATTCTGCCCAGACATCTCTTCGGGTCAGTTTGTTAAACTCTGGCCATCTGCATTTGAGAAAAACCTCAGGATGGAAGTGATACAAGGACTAAGCAGTGGCTAAACAAAGAGAGGGAGAGTCCCTCTCCAGGGAAGACTGGAAAATCCCTCCCCATTTAATCTACCTTGACAATACCTGAAAACCAAATAAGCATAAACAAGCGTGGGAAAAACCCCTTTCAGCTGAAGGACAGGTATGATTCACAAGGAGCTAAGTATGAACAGTTTGCACATAAGTTTAGTCTGAAAAGTAGAGGGGTCCTGAAGCATCAAAGCAATTTGAAGATAGACTTTAGTGGGAAGGGACAGGGAAAGGGAACTCCTTTTGAAGTACAATAGCCTGTTCCAATGAAAAACATCAAGATCTTGCCAGGCTCTTGTGAGAGCAAGGGAGTTAAGTCAGCAAAAAAACGCAGTAGCTGTCCCGTCTTAAAATCCAGAGGACTGCAACACCACCTGTACTACCACTCAAGGATGATTTTATTCAGATTTTTTTGCCGGTTCCTTGTTTGCTTTTAAATTAAAAAGACTGGAGTAAAGTAGATAATGGAAGCATTACAGTACAAAGCTTAAATTTTGCTTATAATGTTTTTCTAGACAGTTTTTTGTTTCAATTGTTTACATATGCTACAATCCTTGAATTACTTCCAACTAGGCTGCAAATTGTGCATCACAAATAATCAGAGAAATCAAGTGTACAAACAGCTGCTTTGCTGTTGGGTCAGCAGCAGTGGGTTATATACTTACATGGATTTCTTGTTGGACATCAAGGTTGCGAAAATTCAAGTCTGGCTGTTCTTTCCCAAACTGATGAAAATAACATTGCTTTCTCACATCATCAAACTGCCAGCTGGAATTCCCAAAGACACTCACCTGTTCATGTAAGAGAGGGAGAGAATAAGAACTCCTCATTTACTTCTATGCATACTTTAAAATGTGCAGCATTACAAGCATATAATATAAAGCACAAAATGCCTAATCAATGGACTACCTTGTGAGTAGATTTTGGTATTTAGGTTTTTACTTTCTTTTTCCTATTAGCTGCTCTCCCTTTAGTTGTGCTTTGCCACATGTGTTTCTTGTTCAATGTTATGGGGATTTTTTTTTATTAAGTAGACTTTCATTGGGGATTATTTGGAATAGAGGGGGAAAACATGTCTGGGAGCATTTATTTTGGAATTGCTTTCCCTAAAACTAAGTAAAAAAAGCTTTAGTTAACTTATAGCTTTCTGCAATCTGGTATTATCCCTTTGAAGTGCCAACAACAGTCAGCATGTTAAAAATGTTAACTTTATCATCATCTCTGTAATAGAAGATCCCAAAAGCTAAGATAGCTCTTAAGACTCTAAGCTTAGAGAGAAATTATATTAACTGGTACAAAGTATTAATTCTACCTTGAGTTTTTAGAATATACAAGTTCTTACACATGATACAAGTTTTTACACATGCACCCATCAGTTCAAATTTCAAATAAATCTGTTTGAAATAGACAACACACTTTCTGGCCTGATCACCTTCCAGAAAAAAAAAAAAAAAAGAAGCCAAGAACACATTGTTTTGTTTCCTTCCTCACCAACTACGATTTCAGAGGAGCTGACATGAAGTTTCTAGAGCAGAGTACCCAGACACAGAAGGGGGCACATGTGAACAACTCTTGCACAATTACTCTTTTCTGTGTTTGTTTAATGAATGAAGATTAACACTGAGGTAAAGAAACACAAGTAATTTTAAAAATTCTGTTTAAATTAGGAACTTCCCCCCCATCTGGTTTACATGTTAATCTGCACTAGCCCATGTAGAAACATCAGTTTGTAGCTCTCAGATGTCACTTATAACCCAGCATACATTGGGACAATCATGCTACAGCTGCTTTTGCTCTGTGGCAGCCTCCATCCAGCCTGGGATTTGCATATGTCCCATCCCGTGTTTACCCAGTTGTTTGGAGGAATGACTGAACCAGCAGCCTCCGTGCAGTCCTGCCAGATGTAGTAATCTGTGTACTTCCCAGTCCGGTTGCGACTCAGCTGAAACCATCGGTGTTTGTCACTTGTGTGGTTTGGTATTAAATCCATTATCACCTTCAGCCCTTAAAAATCAAAACAGTTAGACTCACTAGAGTTTGCTAGTAGCTGGAAGACATCTTGTTGGTACTGTTCCCCCCAGCATGTTGCCTGGGAGGGAAGGAAGGGTGAAGAAAAAAATCAGAACAGATTTCTGCTGTTATGAACCACTTCCACTAACTCTGACTTCAACATCTGTCTCACACCTCCCAGGTGGGAAAGGCACTTCACCAGTCTAGCCAGGGAACACATATTCTTCATCACCCTCCCTAAAGGCTAGACATTTTACTGAAATCTCAAATGTTTTTGGACTGGCAAACGATTTTCCCTTCAGCTCAACAGCTGTAAGAAGAAACACCTGAGCAAACATTTTGTCTAAGGCATAAACGCAGCAAACCAAGGATGCAATTACAGGAAGGAAGTGCATGTTCCTGCATGTTCAGTCAGAAACAACTGCACCTCAGCCTTGATCCCCAGACTGGATGCCCATAACATATGCACAAGGGAGCACGGATGGTGTGCCAGCCCACCACCCACACACACCCTCGGAGGGGACCACGCCTTGCAGAGGACACGCAGCCACCCAATGATGCTGCTGCAGCTCCCTGTGCCTTCAGTCCTGCTCCCAGCACTCCCCTGGCACCAAAGGGCAGGACACTGCTATCCCAGAGCTCATGTTGCTGTGGAGTTCACTTGTACCCTTTGCTGGCACCTCCATCTGCTTCTGCTCAATGCCACCAAGGGGGGAATTGCCAGGTGCACAAACTGAAATCTCAGGTTATAACCTTGCACTGTAAGGTACATCTTTTTAATAGAGTTACTTTGCTCAGAGGTGCAGCTTACCTCTGTCATGTATGGCTGCAATCAGATTGTCAAAATCACTCATTGATCCAAAAATGGGATCAACATCATAGAAGTCTTCAGCTCCATATCCAAGGTCTTTTAAAGGGGACTTAAAGAAAGAGGTGATCCAGATGGTTTTTATATTCAAATATGTAATATGGTCCAGTTTTTCTTGGATGCCTATTTAAAAAGAAAAAGGTATAATCTGTTTAGAAAAGACAAAAGATTTTTGTTTAAGTTTGGCATGGGCTCTCAAAGATGGTACACAGGTCTCCTCAATACATAACTATCCCTTGTTTTTACTGATCTCAGGTAGTAAGGACAGTCTTGACCTTTCTTCAGGGATAGCATGAGATCACAGAATAGAAACCATTCAAAGCCAATTTTACATGGAAAATAAAGCAGGAATCAAAAAGGTTAGATCAAAACAAATTTACATTCTATATTATAAAATATTTACTATTTCATTTAATAAATTTAACACCTGCTTCTGAAAACAAGCTCCTATATTTTGTTAAAAAGCAGTAACAGCATTGCTTTCCCATTTCAAAGAACATCAGTTAATCCTCAGACCACCCAAAGGGAAGCACAATGTTAATGTAAAGATCCCAGTTTTTTCCTAACTTAGGAAAAGTCTCTTATGGGGTTTTTCTGTTGTGTTTTGTAAGGACACCTCACTGCAACCTCCCCTAGTATTTTTAAACCCAAATCTTTTCATCTTCCTAACATGTACTACTGGCGTGCAGCCACAGAAACAGTTTTTTGCTCTTCACTTGCCAGTAGAGCACAGTGTGGCTAGTGCTTCTGGTTTAGAAATGTATTGTCCATTTTGGTGTTAAGCCTCTTTCTACAAGGCAGTCTCAGCTAAGCTACCAGTAAGTGGCATTGTCCATGCATTCTTAAGAGCTAAGAAACAGCTAGACCACGAGCAAAACAAGAAGTAACACATCTTTCTCTCCTCTTTGTCAGTTTTAGTCTTCTGTAGGAAAAGCAGCCAAACAACAAAGTGCTCAGCACCACCCATCCTCCTGACTGACCTCAGTTTTGTGGAGGTATTTTACTCTGATGGCAGCTGTGTTGCTGCTTGCTCTCAGCCCCATCTCTCCATTATAACATCCATTCTAACTCCAGGCTTAGGGTTAACAACTTGAGCAAGCAACTCCTGGATTTATTCATGACAATGTGAGTTACCATTAATGTTGTCAGACTACTTTTCTTTCCCCTCTCCATTAGGGTGGCTATGTCTGTTGGACTGTATTTTTCTATTGGTTATGCTCTTCATACACACACACACAGCTTTGTACATAGCAAGAATGAAAACTGACCCACCTTTCAGATCCCCATTCCCATCCATGTTGCTGTCCTTGAAGGAACGAGGATAGATCTGATAAACAGGACCAGCTTGCCACCAGTCAAGGCACTTTGGAGAGAGAGCAATAATTGCAATCGTAGCACACACAAGTGCAGCAGCACCAGCAATTATGAGCCAGAAGAGAATCTCCCTGGTGATTCTGTACCGGGCTTGGTTGGAGAACTTCAGCAAGACCTCCTTTGGCATCCCGGCATAAGGTTTCAGCACTGTCTCTTCCTCAGCCACCGGGTTCACATCAACAGCGCATGGTTTTGGCATTTCTTCTTGGCTACTGGTATCTGTTTCCTTGTCATCAAAAGCCTCATTTTGAACAAATCCATTGTTCTCCACACCTCCCTTCTCACTCAGCTCCATAGGTAAGCTCTTAGCTGCCTCCTCAACTATTTTATTTCACGGGTCGTGTCCTAGAGACTTGGCCAGAGCAAGAAACCGTTGTCTAACACACCTTTGTTTAGTGAAATGAGAAGCAGTGCAATTAGCATCTGGTTGATAATCAATCCTGACCAACTGGTCAAAGTTCAAAAAGGGACAAAAAGGGCAAAGTGCTCCCAATTTTTCACAGAATCAGCACCTTCAGCAAGATAACAGAATGCTATTGTTCACACCAGCTGAGCACAGTTATGTTTACTGTTGCTGTCTCCAGTACAGCAAACTTCTTTTCCCTTTCACAGCGTGGGGCGGGGGGGGGGGAATTTACCAGTAAAAGATCTAGTAAATATGCAGCTTTCTGGACAGGCCACAGTCTCCCCCGCCTAAAGCAGTCTGAATATGGGTAATTCAAACACAGACAGCAAGAGAATGAGGTGTTGACAACTACTGGCCCAAAAGCAACAATACAAACTAAGAAGAAAAGATACAAGGGCTGGTTGTGCTTCTTTTTCTCAGCTTAGAAAAACAAAATAACCCAACCCAGCCCACCCACAACTCTTAAGCACTAACAACTGCTAAGGCACATACAGATCCTGGGATTCGCAGCATGAGACATGAGAGGGATTGTTAAACCCAGAGCTAGCCCTGGGTCAAGACAGGACAGCTCTGCACGGGCACAAGTAAAACTTAAAAGAAAACCGCACAGCCCTCTATTGAAATGCATTCCCCCCCCCATTAAAAAAAAAAAAGTTAAAAGGAACCTCCCCCTTCTCCCTCCTTCTCCCCTTTTTACTACCCTAGGCAGGAAAAAGCACTGCCCAAAGTCTACACAACATGCACATGTGTACATATCTGTATGCCCCAAGCCCCAGCTGCCCTGAAGCCAGCGAGCCTGCTTTTGTCAAGACATTGCGTCCAGCCAGTGCCCCCTGCCCGGCATACCAAAGGACACACAAAGCAACAGGTATTTGCCAAGGATCCGCCTTATCACCTGTAAAAGTAAACACCTGCCCACAACCAAAGGGTCAGGGTCCCAGGGAAACTCTCATGGGCAATTGCAGTGGAGAAAAGGTTTCGTTTTGACTAAAGCAAAATGTTTATTTGGTTTGCCTCAGACCATGAAAGTAGTTTATAAACTAAGGACCATAAAAATTCCAGCACACAATATCTGAATGACTCCAATGTGTTATCTCTTCAGTAGCTGAGCTAAGAAGAGGTGTTTTATGCTGACAGATTTAATCCTTTTCTCTCCCTTCCTCACAACAGTGCCTGGCAGCAACCTCAGCCTGTGCAGCATCAGGCAGGTGCCAAAGCATCTGAGATAACGGCAGTAGTTTCAGTGCCTGTAATTCTGTATTGCCAGGAAATTCAGAACTGGGAAATTATTTGAAACAGTCTCACTTCCATCTAATGACTCTACAGTCTCAGCTTCATCACACGAGTGAGTTGTTAAAGTTTCCAGGCAGACACGGTACACTCGGGGCATAAACTTGTATTAAGTACAATGCCAACCACTCCACACCCCATTTCAATTGTTTCATTCCAATGACTTAACTTTCAATTAAAATAGGAAATGTGTAAATGCAGAATTTCTTTTAGCTTGCATCACATACACCTCAAGACATAGTACTCCCCATCTTGCTTTTTCCCCCCCAAACTCAGAAGTTTAAACATGCCCATAGCTTCCTGCACTACCTAAAAACTCCTTCAAGCACCTAAGCATGTCAGAGGCAAGAGCAAAGGGTGACCAAAATGCAGCTGCCTGCCACAGATGGATTGGTCAGCCAAGCCAATGAGACTCAGGATGGTCAGGTGCAGAGAGGGCTTGGTGCCAGGGCCAGGAATGTCTGAGAATGCATTCACAGCACCCCATCATGCTCTCAGTTTTGACTGCACCAAACAAAACCTGCCACAAGCCACGGTGAGCATCTCTTCTGAAAAATACAGGCCAAATGAGGACCCTGACATTTTACCATTTTGCAGCATGGGCATACAATGACAGAAGGTGGGTGTCAGAGCATTTACATACTTTAGACACAGTTCAGCACTTCTGGAAGTCGCAGAAGGCATCTCTGGTACATCACTGGGACACAGACATGTAACTCAGTATGACGAATAGCTGCTTAATAGGCAATGCTACATGACTGTGACCAAAGCTACAGTTTTGTGTCTAATTCACCAGCATTTAGTGCTAATTTAATCAACTCTTGACCACTTGGTCTGGCCTTGCATTGCCTCTTGCCTCATGCCAGGTGAAGTATTTTGGCAGATGCAAAGTGAGCCAGACTGGGAAACAGATTTGGCTAAAAAAAAAATTTTATTCTTCAGAAAGTTCTACCCCCAGAAGACCATACCAATGCTTCAGCCAGACATGCACAGAGAAGAGGCAGCAGGCAGGGAGAGGGGCCAGGACACAAAGGCCAACAACTTGACTGAACAACACTCCAGTCAAATCACAGCCTTCAGGTCCCAACATTTCTTTTAGTACATTCTCATCCGTCCCTCAGAGAAAGTCAAGTAATCACACAGTCCTATCATTTCACTTCCGGGAGTAGAAGGCAGTTAAGTTTCACACCCACCAACACTGCTGGAATCAGAGATAGGGAGAGGGTTTAAATTCCATGAACAGTTTATCCCAAGTCATGCATGAAATCTACAGAGGATCAGGAACCTAACCCCAGTTCACCAAAGTACTACATCACCATTACACAAAACACTATTGAAAGTCTGGTTGCAAGTGAGTATTCCAACTCCCCCCTCACCTCTTTTCTTTAAGCCAGTAAACTCTGTGATGATAATTGCCTGCACAGACCCTGTTCGCTTGATCTAAAGATAGAGGGAGATTACCCTTCCCCTGCATGTGTTTTACAACTGATTTCAACTGATTTACAACTGATTACAATTTAGTATTTCAGTAGTCAGAAGCTGCCACTGCTCTCCGTATGCACAGTTTGGAAACCATTACTTTCCCCTTATTTGAACATCTTGCAGGAGCATAAGGGCCAATGCCTGCTCTGAGAATCCCGCTGTGCGAAAGCCATGCCTTCAAAAGAGCCCCTCTTGTCCTAATGTAATCCTCAAGTAATATTAAAGGCTTATTTATACCTTAAGTAGGAGAGATCGTGTCTTAATTGTCAAGCGCCTGGCTGAAAAGCGGAGGATTATACTGCTGTGGTAGATAAATGCAGCACGCAGGAGGCGGAGGCCATGGATAAGATACACTGACACAATCACTGTAAGGTTAAAACAGAACATAAACCATCCTGGAAACGACCAAGTGGCAGTCTTGGTGAACATGAGAGTTTTTAAGAGTTGGACTGACCGGACTTACAGTCAGACTTCAGTCGTATTTCAGATCAACTCCACGTTGCTACATAAGAAGAGCAGAAGCACAAGCAGGTACCAGCGGAGCACAGGTACACCTAGGATAGAAATCTGGACCTTGAATACTAGAAATTCTTCTAGAAAACCTGCAGTAAATATATAGCCAAGGAGCTTAAAATAGGAGAACAAACCCAAGAATCTGGTATTGTCCTCTATGTGTTTGTCCTCATAGACTAAAAATAAAACCACACAGGTATTTTGTTGTTATTACAGACCTTTCTTTTTCTTCTTCTAAACCTGAGGAGTTGCTTGCCTTAAAATTATTTGATAAAGGAAAACTGTAAACTTCATCTTAAGAGAGGCAGATCACCAACAATTCCCACTGAGCCTTAACTTTTTCCTTTTAAAATATATTTTATGTATGCAGGCATTATGTTTCTGGCTTGCTCTCAAGCAATTCTCAAATGGTTCCCCTCCTGAGCGATTTTATAGTTTAGCAGGAGCAACTAGCCAATGCAACTGCGTTAGCAGAATCCACTGAAAAGCATTAAGGAGTAAAGAAAACACTTCATATTCTCTGCCAGTTACTCTGTTTACCTCAGGGTTAGGTAGGGAAACAAAACCAATCGGTATGTGGGCAGTAATAGCTGCTATCTCCACACAGATTGCCATGGTTATTTCTATAAGATGGAGGGGTTAATTTCCACAAGTATTTCTTATATATAATTATTTAGATGCACTGACTGACTTAGCATCTACTGTTTGATGCTCTACAAATGCCAAGTAGCTTGCCAGTTACTCAGTACCGTACATATTATGCCAAAGACCATGCAGAGGGGTGATTATGCACCCTAATGTGCTAAGTGTAGGAAGACGTTTATTGTTAAAAAGTTCTCTTGCTTAATGCTTTTTCATTAAAAGGTTTGTTGCCACTGGAACTGGTCTGACATAATGCACTTTACTGCTAAATATAACCTCATTATTTCCAGAATCAGGGCCAGCTTTACACCTATGGAAAAAGGCAGACAGGACGCGTGTCGGTTTTTCCTCAGTGGCCCCCACAAGACTAGAGGATAATCTGACCTTTAAAGTTACCTTTCACTCAGCACTAAGAAAGTCCTCTCTTGACCCAGAGGGCAGCTGTCAAGAGAGAGATGGTCTCCAGGAACAAGTTTCTGACACAGTATCTTTTACCCTGGGAATCCATGAGCATGTCTGAAGTTTCTGCCACAGCCTGAAGTCCTGGGGTGGCAAAATGCAATTGCATAGGACACTGTTACATGGTTTGATGGGGGGGTTGTTACTTTTTTTAGTGATCTTAGTCCGCTAGTGGACTATGCGATTAAAGGTTAATGTCATTATAAATGCTGTAATTAGCTACTGCTTGGCCCCTGCCCCCCACAGCTGATCACCATGGCTGGCTTCTCCCACTATTTTTAATGAAAACAATTTTCATTAATTAATTAATTCTTGCTGTTATCGTAGCTGCAAGAACAACAGCACGCAGTGTTGACTCCTTCCAGATGCCCTCCCCTGCAGAGGGCCAAACACTGTCACACACCCGTAGAAAATCTTACCTAAACTCCAGGTTTGTAACTTTTCCAGAAGGAAGCTCACTCGCATAACTGCACCCTTCTCAGCTTACCCTCTTCCCTTTACAGCACTCATCCATTACATTTCTGTCCTAGGAGATGACAACTTCAAAGGATTTTCTTTTCCAGCCTACTCCTTGAAACTTTTCCCAGCAAGAGACACAGACCTCGATTTTACCCTTGTGCGAACTGAGAATGTTCAGCATAGTACTGAACCCTGTCAGACTGTTTGATGGCTATAAACTCAAGAGTGACTTTGTGTTACTGAAACATCCCTGAAATGGGAGATTCTCAATACAGACAGCAGAGCCAGGCAGCCCAACAGGAAGCCAATCTGAAGCTCAAGAACATAAAATGGCATCACACTGCATCACCACCTCATCCATCCTTTGGGTTATCAAAAGGCAGCACCCCACAAACTACATCTATCCTTGATGGGGCTTATTTCTGACAAAAATTTACATTCACTCAGTAGTAATCAAGGAGCAAGTTTTGGTCTGTTGAGCACAAAGCATTTCATCACATGGAAGGATGAAAGGACTTATAGGAAAGGGCAGTCAGGCAGGGAATACTGTGTTCTGCACAGCTGTCACTGCATGAGCACTGCTATTGCCATACTATACAAGCTGTGCTGCTTTTCACAGTGCCTGCTTCCCCACCTGCAGGAATTACGCACATAGTATCACAGCTATATATGGTGCTCCATATGAATTTACTCCTTTCCACGTCTCTCTAGGTGCATCCAGATAGGCTTTCCTGCAAATAATTTGCTTTTTCACATATATCAAATTGGTGACAAGCATCTCATGATCAAGCCTACTCAAGATTGTGCTCCTGTGAAATAATTTCCTGCCAAAAGAGCTCAGTTCATATCAAAAATCTCTAGTCTTTGTACAGAAAGCTTCACTCGCTAGCACTGAATTGCATCCCAAGGTTTTTGCAATGGCTGCTTGGGACCAACAGTTCATGGATTCCACATCAGACCATAACAGTCCAGTAACAGTAATGCAAGTGAGTGTGCAAAAAAATCAGTGTGAACACTGGGAGTAAAAACAAAGAACTGGAAGTATATATTTTATTAAAAAGCCCCCAAATCAACAAAAACCCAGTTCTCCAACTCGAGTGGAAGGATGTAGCTGCGAAACAACAGCTGGCACATGCAAGGTGATGCATTCAAGGAAGAGGTGCTGTGGCCAGCACAGACTAGACCTGTGCAGCAGGTAAACACTCCACAGCTATAAGAAATCATTTCCAAAGATACACATACCATTCACTGCAGACATAAGTAGCAGAACTTAAATTTCACATTCACATGAACATAAAAAGACTGAAATTGAAGACAATCCAAAAGCTTTTATCTAATTCACTTCAAAGCCTAAGGGCTACTAGGATCATATGAGAAGTTACATCTACAAAATATAACTTTGTGGTTTTTTTAAGTTCAGAGAAACAGCGCTTGAAATATAGAAACCACACGTAAAAAATTGCTGCAATCAGTCACACACTTGGATCTCTCTGTTTTCCTCTTTAAAAAATTGAGTGGGAAGTGAAATGCAATAACTAATCTCTGAAACAGTAGCATGGAACTTGCTACATGTTTTTAAGGTAAGGACAAGTAGGACTGAAGGGATAAATGTGAAATATATTTCACCATTTTAAAATTTCACAGCCAGCATAATGCAAAAAATACTACCTAAAAGCAGAGACTAAGAAGTTCTTGTAAAGCACCACACTTCCAAACACGTCACACGTTGTTTGTGTTAGCAGAGTATTTCCTACAACGACATCCTTCCAAATTAATGCAGATTTACTGGAGCCACAAAAAGTATTTTGGTTTGATTTCATACATTCTTTGCTCCCAAAGGTGAAATATTATTATTTTAAATATACTAGAAAAACACATCTGCTTTACATATCCAGGCCAAAATCCTTAATGCACAACTAAACTTAGATATGTTTATAAAGATGGATAAAAGATTTAAAAAAAATAAACCTCAGAGCGCATTATCCAGTTTTTCCTAAGAACAACAAATAAGTACTGTAAATTATTTGTCCAAGATTAAGCAGACATCCACCATTTTGCATGTGAGTAACCTGCCAAACAAACCAAAGAATGAATTTGACAGGGATGGCATTAAGAAGTTTCCTTGTAAAAATAATGGGAAATAAATTTTCATTAATGCAACCAGACTTTAACAGGTATCTTACTTCACAGTTAAAATGCATTTACTTCAGTGTTTCCAACTAACTTCTGAATGTAGAGTATTTGGTAAACTATGTTTAATGTTCACCTCCCAAAGAAGTAGGTAAATACATCAATGTAGAGAGGTGCATTTTCACCACAGCTCTTTTAGCACATTTTTTAAAAAGACAATTCAGATTTTTCAAGGAAAAAAGTAATACTCTTGCAAACAATATAACATACACAAACGTTTTCGGGTACCCCTTCTAAGTTTTCGATACTTAACTCCTGAAAGTAGTGTTTTATCTCACAAGACAGAATTTTCATTCATAAGACAGAAATTTAATTACGAATTTCTGTCCAATTTCTTTCACTTAAGCTTTGCAGCTATTTCAAAGTGATAAAAGCAGTACTTCTGTGTTTACAGATCTGACAAACTTTCAAGATTTTCATCAGAGGACTCATGAATTTCATGCTTTCCAGCTTTTTAAAGGTCAATGGCAGTGTCCTTACCACACAAAACGCTATTATACACCATAGACTCAACTTTCCCACAACTCACCTTAACTTCTAAAAATCCGAGAAAGCAGAAAACCAGGGTAAAAGTAATTTCTTAAACAGACTTGACACAACAGGAAAAATTATGTCGAACAAGACTGTTTCAATTAATTGCCGTAAGTCTTCAGAATGTATCTTCCTACTACACAGTGTTTTTCTTCCTTTACTAGGAAGGACAACTGCTTTCAAAGATTACCAAGCTGATGGCGAATGTCCATTTTTTTCTCTCCTATCAGCCCATCCCCGTGACCTGAACCCTTATCAGTCTTTGTTAAGTTTTAAAAGCCGGTGCTGATGCAATCATTAGTTGACGTTCACTAATCGCAGTATCAGCACAACAAAGAGTTTTTCTGTTGGAAATTCCCGTCAAGCTGCACATAAACAAATAAGGACAGCCAAGGGCAGAGGCAGGAAGTTACTCAACAATAGAGAAGGAAGATCTCAATACTCCCCGGCAGCCTTTAAATCCAGGCATCACAGCAAAGGTGAGCTTTACAATTTCTGAAGAAATTAAAATAAGGTCTTCGGAAGAACACGACCTTTCAGATGTACAAAGAGCCAAGCACAGCGGCACTGATTAAGTGTGTAACAGAGTGAATGATGGAAACAACAGCTGACCACAAGCAGTGAGCTGAACACAAACAGGAGGCCCAGTCTTGCTAACATGCAAAGGCTGCTCATCGTTTGATCACCAGAGAAACAGCCAGGTAAGAATATGAGAGGTATGAGCCACGCATAGCTAAGTCAGGTCTGTACAGCAACAGTCCAAATAAACACAAGCAGGACAAGTTCAGGTTGGCACACAGAGAAACAGGTTACAAAGACACGAGAACACAGGTGGAGCTTCAACTGCACAAGCTGCATACTTACCTGGATTATTCTGTGTAAATTCAGTGACTTTGGGTACTTTGCTGTGGTTTTGTCAAATTGCCTTCATCTCTGGGAGCATCCTATGCAGTTGCTTACCTGCACGGGTGCAGCTACCTTCCTCTGACTTCATTTTCATTTTAGAGCTAAAAAAGAACTATAAAGAATCAAAAGCAACATGCCTTCAGTAGACAATCCTTAAATCTAAAATTTGCTTTTTAGCCCAACAAAACCCAAATTAGTCGATAGATTAAAATCTGCTTAGCACTGTGGGTTGTTTTTTCTTTTTGCCAGTATAGACCTGATACCTAATCTTCGGCAGCACTGTTTTTTGCTTCATCTTCCAGAGGTAAAAATTGCCCACTACAGTTCAGTTCAATGCTGTAACTAATCTCAAGTTCCTGCTGACTCTGATTTTCACTATGAACCTATAAAGTGCTAAAGAAAAATGACTGGTTTTCTGGGGCTAACTTAACTTTTTAAGATTTAAGCCAGTGATTATGGCTGACAGTGTACAAAAGCTCAGAGGCTAACTGAACTCCACTTCATACATATAAAGAACCTACCTAGCCACTAATAGCTCACCTGTGATGCGTTAAAAGAACTGACAACAATTTCAAGTGTACAGTTTGTTTGGGTTTGTGATTTTGTTCTTCTCTTCTTCCTTTTGTATTTTGGTTTGTGGGGTTTTTTTTGTTTTTGTTTTTTTTTTTACTCCCCCCACATCAGCATCAGAGTCACATAAGGCCCATGAAAAGTATCAATATTTTGGCCAAGTCTTGCAAAGGTTTGCATGCAGGCTCAAATAACCACATGAAGATCCAGCCTAGTAAGAGGAGACCTTCAGAGTAGTTAACTACCTCTCATAGGAGATTCCTGAGAAGGTCAGTGACACCACTTACATTTGCATCTGTTTTGTTATTCCCTATTCCATTTAACATGTTAATGAGGGCAGTTAAAACAGATCTTTATTTCACTCAAGATTATCAGAGAGCAGTTTTGAGAACTGACATGGATTACTTTGTCTCTGTTACAGGAGAAGTCATAAAAATGAAGTCAAGCTGAATTTTACACCTCAGAAAGACCCGAGGTGGAAAAGGTACTAACCACTCTCAGCTTTCTACAGAAGTATCTTTACATTAGTTATTGGGTGGCAACATAATTAACACAACATAATTTTAAAACAAATGTTAAAATTGACAAGTTATGGCAAATACACGAACAAATTTTATCAAACATTTAGACTTCTCATACTAAGAACAGAAAGTCAAAAAGGACAGTTTTCTTTTTTCCAGGCTGCTGAAATCTGCACAGTATTTTGATTAAACTACAAACATGGTTAGAAATCGTAACCAAGCGGATGCATGAATGGCAAGTAGTGTCAATTTAGAGGAAAAGAAGCTGTCTGGATTTACATTTTGATGTAGCTGTGCAAGCTACGGTCCTTCACTTTGAAAAACCTGTACTTCTATACACTTCGATACAATGAAAGCATAAACCCTTTTACAGGGAGACTATCCACATAATGCAAAAAATCTAAACAAATAAAAGGATTGGAGGCTATG